AGTAATCCATGTCTAAAATAAAAGTCAATATTTTGGCGAATTATTTAAGACTATAAAGAGTTTTGGGAGCTATTTAGAATTGGGTATATACGTCTTTAACTAAAGACAAATTTCAATATAAATACATTTTAATTTTAAATTATGGTCCATGACTCATTTTAAAATTGTCAGATTTTGTTTAATGATCGATAAAATTAAAGCCAAACATTTACTGAGTAATTTGAGACCAGAAATAACTTTGTGACGTATTAACAACCCGAGTTATAAATCTTTTAATAAAAATATATTTCTAAAAAGTTAAATTTAATATTGTTCTGAGGTTTGTAGCTGGTCTTTAACTCGTCTGATTTTAATGATCAAGAGTTCAAACGAAAGCCCTTACATTACTGAATATTTTAAGCCTAGAATGAACTACAACCGTCAATAAGAACTGGAGATATAAGAAAAATAGTTTTAAAAAAATTATCAAACTACGAAACGTCCATAAGGAATGTATGGTGAAGAGTTTTCGTTTTAATATATCTTCTAAATGAATAAAGATATTTAAAAACGGATTTCGGCATTGAAATCAGTGTAAAAATGTAGTTGGTAATGATGTGTCACAACACTATCATAACATTGAAAATAAATTATCTATGTCCAAGATGGCGGCCAAAAACATGTTCCCTATCAAAATGAAGTACTAACCACCCAATAAATACAGGTGGTGGTCCCAAGTCAATATCTCGAAAAATGTGCATAACAAATGCATGTGAAATATGTTTTTTTAGTTTGTCCAATGTTGGAAAAAGCCGCCATTTTAAATTATGATTTTAGTGGTTTTCTCGTGCACCGATTTTTGGCAACTTTTAGTATGTCATTCTGCAAACCCAACTCTACAAAATAAAACCATAAAACGTTTTCTTGCAATTTTTTTAAGGTCATATCCTATATTTCTCCGACTAGTAACTGTAGAAGTAATTTTGTTGATTATGGGAAGTACAAATATTTACAAATCTGAACATTTTATTTCCTTTTAGCAAATTTTCATTTATTTATTTTTTATTTATTATTTATCGTTTATTTATTATGGAAGTATCTATTCTACATTAGTCAAATTTAAGGTAAGACATATTTAATTCTGGCCTACTGTACTTAGGCCCACTTTTTTATCTAGAAAGCCCAGAAGCCAAAACCACAATTCAATTCTTTTTTTAATTAGTCTAACATAAGTGTTTTTTTTTGTTGTTTTTTTTTTTTTTTTTTTTTTTTTTTTTTGTAAGGGGGGGTGGAAAACATAGTTTCTGTAGTGCTGGGCTCCAACAGGTTTAAGACCTAAAGACTACCCACTAAAATTCTCCTCTACTCTTCGGACACTAGCCTGGGAACACTTTTTACAATTCATCAGAACTAGGCTAAGTTTGCCTAAGCCCAAAGGGCACACTCCTTGTCTAGCTGTTAACTTCCTAGACACACACGACCTAGACTGTAATGTGATTTAGTTTGTTCTTTAGTGGCCTCTTGGCAAAGCACATCTCATCGTGGACAGAGGAAAATGAGTGTTCCGCGTAGTAGTGAACACCGGGGTAGTAAATATAGTCAGGTAAATTAGACTTAGACATCACAGTGGGAGATACTAAATCTTAAGGGGATAAAAAAAAACGTAAGGTGAGTGAATGAAAATCAGAACCTACTCATTTACATCCACAATAGCCTACACCTGAGTCTATGTGTTAGCCAAAGTTTAAACTATTTAAGGAACTTATACCTAAGCTCTATATAAGTATAGGTCTAATTCAGTCTTTCCACCGGAATAAAACTAAGATCCCGCACACCTGGCCAAAAAAGTCCTGTTTTATCCCTCCACATGAATGTCATAAAATATCTTTTATGTTTACTGGTTTATCTTATTACACAACGTACTAAGACATGATTGGTTTATCCACAAAGCTAAAATAATCAGGTGTCAAGAGTAGGAAATTTTGTTTTATTGCACGCCCCGTTTCAATTCCGAGCATGGTCTAAAACTTCTGTTTTTGTGATTCAAGTCCCTTTATCCATACGCGGGAGTTGGCCTACTAATGATTTTTCGAACCATTAGTCTTTGGAAAGACTAAGCTGACATCAGCATACAACCTCGAATGACTTGGAATGAACTAACTAAACAAATGTTTCTGATCGTGGAAAATGTTAAATAATCATCTCCAGACCAGACAGTAATCTCTTGGTGTTAGTTTCTATGAACTGTTTTTAAATAAAAAATAAAAAAATATTTGGCAAATTTAATTATACTGGTTGAATAATTGTTCCTGATTTTTAAAATTCATAGTCTAATGGAGAAATTCATGCATAATTCATGCCTTTTCTCATGGTCACAAGAATTCATGCACAATTCAAACTTTTCAAGGTTTTCATGGCTGGTGGCAACCCTGTCATAGTGTCTCCCCCCCCCAATATTTTTTTTTTTTTATTTAAACTCCTAGTAAAGTACAATGTCCCTCATTCCTTATGCAGAATGAATATCCTTAGCCTTCTAATCGTTGACTATTTATACAACTAGACTTCCATCACCATGTTAAAGTTGTCGCCGGTTTTAGCGAATTTCCCTATAGGGAAGTAGCTATTACCGTAGGTGGCACGGTAAGACCTAGACCCGGGACCGATTTACTTTTTCATTTTGATGTCCCCAGAGGCCAAAAACACCATTCGTTCAAATTTTTATATATGTATATATATATAGACATATATATATATATAGACATATATATATATATACTAGCTGTACCCGCGGGCTTTGCCCCGCTTAACTTCATAAGTATTCGCTTGGCTCAATCACCTCCTGGTTGAAGTTCGTTCGCTACGCTCACTCACCTTCAGGTTGGAAATCGTTCGCTGCGCTCACTTGTTTTCAGGTTAGCTCGTTCGCTACGCTTACTCGCCTCCAGGTTGATGTTCGTTCGCTACGCTCACTCACGTTTTGGTTGCAAATTAGCTGTTGTCATAAATTTAAAAAAGTCACTCAATCACGTCCTGGTTGAAGTTCGTTCGCTACGCTCACTCACCTTTGGGTTGGAGCTCGTTCGCTACGCTCACTCACCTTTAGGTTGGAGCTCGTTCGCTGCGCTCACTTGCCTTCAGGTTAGCTCGTTCGCTAAGCTAACTCGCCTCCAGGTTGAAGTTCGTTCGCTACGCTCACTCACCTTTTGGTTGCAAATTAGCTGTTGTCATAAAATGTAAAAGAAATAATAGTGCTGCACCCTGTTGGTAATCCTTGTAACTTTAATGCTATTGAACATCATAGAACAGAACCAACTTGTTTAATTGAAACAGCTGTTAAGATTCATTAATTCCATTTCTCATAAGGTTAACATGGGAAACTCCAGAGCCACTGGGGCGGAGCCCTTTTAAGAATTTCGAAACGGGAAATAGTTTACTTCCTATTCGCATACCTACAGAATTTACACACCAAATTTCATAACGATCGGTGAAGTCGTTCCGGAGGAGTTTACTAACAAACACTGTGACACGAGAATTTTATATATTAGATATACGTCCGTGAACGCGATAACTTGAGTAATTTTTGTCCGATTTTGATGAAATTTGGTTTAAAGGTGTAAAGCGGGATAAACTTGAATGAGTTCGCGAACCAGCATGATCGGACCATGGGAACGGGGCTTTACGGGGGGTTTTATAGGGTAAAAATTGGTTTTTCTCACTTTTGACCCTCAAAACACAAAATTTCCCGATTTCTCTTTAGACCTATTTAAAGAGCTTAAAAAAACAAATAATTAAGTATATTAAAGTATTTTTGTTCGATTATTAGTAACGGAGAAAATTTAAAAAAATGGAAATTTTAAATTCCAATGTTATTCTTATGGAGAATATTGTCAAATGTTGTAGTTTGCTTGTTTATGGATATATTTTGATCAAACTTAGCAAATTTATTTATTTTGTACTAAGCTATCAATATTTTACTCAAAAACACACTTTATTAGTTTCCTTGTAGCAGCAAACCTATGTACTCGTTAAACCTAATGTTATTAAAATATATTTAACTGAAAATCAATTCAGACAAATGGAAATTCGCTTAGTCGGCAGGTTTGCTGCGGCGGGGGTATTTTATACAAAATCGTTGTAGTTGATATGAGCCACCGACAGATTGTGCTGATCTAAATTACTAATTTCTGTCAAATACATGAACCTTTTTACCAAGTCAAACTAATGGAATGACTTATGATGAGCTCTATAATAGCAACTGTTATCACCCATCAACTAACAAGAAATAAGCTAGAAAATAGAATTTTATAAACTAACTGTGGCTGTTTGCAAATCCATGTTCTTTTTAAAAAAAAATTGGCAACAGTTGGTCCATATAGATGGGACGTCTACTTTAGTATCCAGTAGTAAATGCTATAATAGAGACCTATAATTTAGTCAACTCCCCTATTAGCCTACATAATGAATCTGTTTTCATTTATTTATTTCATGCATATGGCAAACGCCGATTACAATAGGGCCAATTACATATTACATAAACAGTGGTACATTAATTCATATTGGTTTATGGTTAGCCTAAAGCCGGCTCCAGACATGCGCCATTCGCAAAGCATGAAATATTTGACGTTCGCCGATCTAGTTGTCTTGCTATTCGCCAATTAACGAGAAGACATCTAAACACATGTGTTGTTTTCCGAGCAACTGTTTGTTTCGGAAATAGCAAAAATATTTGTTCACTTTGATGTGCGCAAAAATACTGACATTGGACAGGAAAACACGAGCATGAATGTTAGCTTGCCAAATAGATAAACACCTATCACCACTACTCGTGATTCAACGAGTCGCCGATCGGTGCTTGATGAATGATGCATGTCTGGAGCCTCCTTAACCGTGCTTGGACAATTTGTCAGATGAAGCAAAAAGTGAAATGAAATGAAGAGCAGCTACAGCAACAAAATAAATAAACTTGAGCAACAACTAGGTACGGTACAACAAATATTAATAGTAGGCTAAGTTATATTTACCTTTTGACGCTTTCTAAGAAGGAAGTTTTTCCACATAAGCATGCGCAATTGGAGCATGAATGCCATTTTCCTGGATCTTAGTTTGCAGCTTTATTGTCAAGAAAGATGCAACCTATCTGAAAAAAAAACAATGGACAAATGTAAAGCATTCAGTTAATTTATAGAGAGGTCATAAATTGGCAAAGAAGGAAAAATACAGGTCTAGAGGCAAGTTTTACATAGTAACTTGATTAAATAAAATTAAATATGCAAGGTGTTGTGATAATTTAGGTAATTCATTCTTAGCAGTTACCATTGAGGGATAAATACCTGTAACTCTATTCAAAATTATTAACATTTTTTAAGAAATTTCAGCACACTCAAATATTGTACTTGGGTGTAGAAAAATGTTCAGCAGTTTTTAGGCTATATTTAAAGGGATAATTTTTTGACAAAAGGAGCCTGTCCTAGTATCAAGATTTTTCTTATTTTAACTTAATAGACAATAGACAATAGACAATAGACAATAGACAATTTTCTTTATTTGTGATTTCTTTAAGAAATACAATGGCGTCAGAGAAATTCAGAATGTTTAACATTTAGATTGTTTTAACAGTTTCCTTTTTTTTGTGTTGAAAGTTCATAATTGGTCAAAAAATTCCTTAAGGGAGTACACCGGTCGGTCCACAAGCCAGTCCCAGAGTTGCTGTTTGAATTGGTTTCCTGTTGCGTTCTTGAGGTTGTTTGGAAGAGAGTTGATGATTTTTCGGCCAATATAAGAGGGTTTTCTGCTGTATTGTGTAGTGTGGTGGATCGGAAGGTTGTAGTCGGCTGCTTTTCTGGTGTGGTAGGAGTGAAAATTCTCATTTCTGGGAAGGTTAAGTTTTTTTGTGTACAGGACAACTCCATGGATGTAGAGTGCTGTCACTGTTAGGAGCTTAAGGGATTTAAATGCTTCCCTGCAGCTGTCTAAGCGCTCAAGGCCGGAGAGTGCCCTGACAGCTTTTTTCTGGAGTACCAACACTTTGTTGAGGTTTGCTTCTGATGTTCCTCCCCAAGATATTAAGCAATACCTTATATGCGATTCTATTACAGCATAGTATGCTGTCTTAGCTGTTTCCAGACCTCCTATCCATTTCATCCTCTTTATTACATGGACACCAGATGCAAGTTTTTTGGTCAGGTTGTGTATGTGGTCGTTCCAGGAGAGGTCTTCATCAATTGTCAGGCCCAGCAGTTTTGAGTTTTTTTCAACGGTTATTTCAGGAATTTCTTGGATTTGTTCATGTTTTCGGCTGAAATTTAACTGGGTTGTTTTTGATGGATTAATGGCCAGGTCATTTTGAAGGCAGTACTGCAGTGCTTTGTCTGTTGAGGATAAGATGTTGGAGTGTAATTCTTGTGGTAAGTCGTGCATAAATAGAAGAGTTGTGTCATCAGCGTACATTATTGTTTCACAATTGTCATTCCTAATAAAATCTGGAAAATCATTGGTGAAAAGGATGAACAAAAATGGGCCCATGACTGAGCCCTGGGGCACTCCCCTGTTAATCGAAAGTTGTGTGGACCTATGTACAGATTTTCTCCCATTTGTGTTTTGCTGGATTTCAACAATTTGTGTACGTCTTTTCAAATAGCTTGCCACCCAGTCTTTGGCCGTTCCCTCTATTCCTAGGGCTGTGAGTTTCCTTAGGATGAGATTATGGCCCAGGCAGTCAAAAGCTTTACTGTAGTCAAGTAAGACTGTTGATACATATCTGCGTGCTTCTAGATGGTCAATGATTTGTTCGATTAAACTAGTTAGAGCTGTGGTGGTGGACCTCCCTTTGAGAAAACCATGTTGGTTTTTTGTGATGAGATCATTTCTTTCCAAGTGACTCAGCATTCTTGACAGAGCAACTTTTTCTATTACTTTTGAAAAGGTTGATATTAATGAGATAGGGCGGTAGTTTTCTTGTTTAGTGTGTGAGCCTTTTTTGTGCTTTGGGTATATTTTTGCTATTTTTAGGGCGGAGGGAAATTGTCCAAGGCTAAAAGATTTGTTTATTATGCTGACAAGTGGGGCTGCCAGTTGTTCGGCACAGTGTTTTACAACTTTTGATGGCACTTCATCTACTCCACATGACAGCTTTGATTTCAGTGAGGCTATTGTTGCTAAGACTTCTTTAATGGTTGTAGGAGTTAAAATTAGTGGCTGGACATTGCTTTGTGGTAGAAATAGTGGATGTGTAATTTTTTTGTTTTTGAATTGGCTTCTGTTTTTCTCTAAAGTGGAGTCTGCTATTTCTGCAAAATATTGGTTTAGGTGTTCAGCAATGTCAGTAGTGGTAATCTAATATTTTTCCCTCTATTTCCAGCTGCAGATTTGGTTCTTCCTTCTGTTTACATTGTTTTTCTTTGTTGATGATCTCCCAGACAGCTTTGGATTTATTATCAGCACTTGTGATGTATTCTGCAGTGGCTTGTCGCTTGAGGGACCTGAGCTTTAAATCATATGTTTTCTTTTTTTCCGACATTGTTGTTTTATCATTTACATTTCCGGTAAGCTCGTATCGGTGTAAGGCATCTAGAAAATCTTCTTTTAGTATTTTGACTTCTTCATCATACTGAACCTTAATTTTTTGTCCTTTCTGCATAGCTCTTATTTTTTTGATAGGGCAGGCATGGTCCAGTATGAGCCTTACAGTCCTTTGGAATTCAGAGTATGCCTCTTCAGCATCAGGGGCATTGTGCACCTTTATCCAGTTTTCTTTGGAGAGTTCGTCTTTCATGCTATCCAGGTTTTTTATTGAAAAAATTCTTTTTTGTGACATATCCGTTTTAGCAGTAACTTCACTCTGTATTTTGAGGGTACATGTTTGGCCTGTGTGATCTGCTATTCCAGCGTTAATTATAGCGAAATCTATAGCATTATCATGTGTATTCGTACAGATACAGTCTATAGAGGTTCTTGAATGGTTAGTGATTCTTGTCGCTGGGAGTGGTAGTCTTCTAACTCCAAAAGTTGACAGTTCCTCTTCAAGATAGTTACTACTGGCATTTTCAGTTAGCCTGTCTATATTGATATCGCCCATTAATACAACGGTCTTGGTGTCAGCTTGAAGTGATTCCAGAACTTCTGATAGGATGTCAATGGCTAACCTAGCTTGTCCCCCTGGTGGTCTATACATACCAAGTAAGTAGAAGTTTTTGTTCTTTATCCTTATTTTTACTAATGCTGCTTCAAAAACTAACTCTAAACTTTGGTTGGAGATTTCTATTTCTTCTGCCTTGATAGCAGTAGTTTCCTGGATATAGATTGCAACTCCTCCCATTCTATGCTCTTCTCTGCAGGAATATGTGACTAGGTTGTACCCACTAATCTTAGTGAGTAATAACATATCTGAGCTGAGTCCATGTTCAGTAATCACCAAGATAGTGGGTTTGAGTTCACTCATTAGAGGATTTATTCTTTCAATCTTTTTCCTAAGACCTTGAACATTTTGGTGAAAAATTGTGATGGAGGTTGTTTTATTTTGTGTAATAACTAAATTTCCCTGATTATCTCTTCTTTGTGCTTTGGGGTTTGTGTTTTGGTTGTTGTCATTCAGGGGGGAAGTTGATTCTATGTTTTGTCGTCTGTTTGTTTCTTCACACCTAAAAAATGGTTTAGGGTCTGATTTGAGTCTTTCAGTATTGATTGGTTATGTTGTTTACATTGTGGTAGCTTATGGTGTGAGATCCCATTTATGTACTCCATGTGTTGGTTTAAAAAGTCTTCAAGTGATTCATTTGGTTGTAGTTTTTTAGCGGTACAGGGAGGTCCTTTTTGTACTTTAAATGTCTGTCTGTTAGCAGGAAGTTTATCAATGATGGGAGATTCTTGTTGTGCACATTGAGTGGACTTAGGGCAGGGAGTAGACTTTAAACTGCTCTGGAGAGTATTTAATTTTGATTTTGTATTGTTTATGTTTATGTCCTTTTCTTTACTTTTTTTCATCTGGAGTGACACACTAAAAATATTCCTATTCATTACCCTTAGCTGTTTCCTTACTCTTCCGTTTGCATCGGTTTTCGGGCTTTCACAAGATGGTGTGGGTTGTGTATTACTGGGGAAGTTTGTATTCTTGCCATTCTCTTGCTGAAATATTTTACTTTTAATTGCTGTTAAAGTGTTTTCTGTTTCTTCTTGCCAGGTCTTCAGCTTCGCTAGCTCAAGTAGCAGGGACAATGAGCTGTTTTGTGTTGGGAGCTCAGAGCTGTGGGTTTGAGATTCGGAGTTTTTGAATGTTAAAGTGTTTTTTGCTTGATGATTTCCAGAAACATTATATTTTATTGGGTTCTTAATAGTTTGTTGTAGGTTAACAGTATTACTGACCTATATTTTGAGTGCTAGGGGCCTCCCAATCCTACTAATCCTACTGTATTAAAGATCAAAAGTTATTGAAGCATTTTAGTTACCACTTTGCAAACAACAAACCAACTAGATATGGTACCACAAAAGTGGTAGACGGCTGTTGCCTCAAAACTCCATGCCAATATCGTTAGTTTCTACTATAGATAAGGTTTTTTAATTAATTGTAAAATCCCAATTATGTAAGTTTTTAGACTGTCATGATCTTTTATGCAATTCACAGTTTGGTTATCGCACCGAAAGGTCATCACCGATGCTGTTATTCGAAATGTTATTGATGTATTTGAGGTTGGTGGTTTTGCTCCAGTTACAGCCTGTGATTTGAGTAAGGCTTTTGACCATGTAGATCATAACATTCTTTTTGAGTGTCTGCTTTCGTTTCTTTCAATCTTACTTGCAGGAACGTAGACAAGTATTAAACTAGCACTAACAAGATTAAAACCCCTAAGTGAAAAGGAAACTTAAAAAATTATATATTTTTCATACATACATTCAATCATATCATTTGGAGTTTCACTTTATGGTGGAGCAAAAAAGAAAAAATTAAAACCAATTCTAAAAAACAAAAGAAAGCTATTAGAATTTTGTGCAATTTAAAACGCAGAACTTCAGTCAAAGAATATTTTTTTAAACTGAGAATATTATGACTGTTTATGGAATGTATGTCTATGAAACAGTATTATCAGTAAAAGACAGATTTAATGAATTACAACTTATCGGAGACTATCACAATTACTTTACTAG